TCTTTGCATTAATTGAATTGAGAAATTTGATATTGAATATGGTATAGTTTGCAATGGTAATCCGAGCGAAAATAATAAGTAAAATTTTAGCCCTGCTAAAATCCACATTTCACATATACACGTTGTTTATCAATTCTAGCCTAAAATTCTAACCCAATCCTTAAAAAAAAAAGCGGAAAAATTTTAAAATTTCATACCAAAATAGGCCCAAATTACAGCATCGGCTACTACAATAATTGCCTAGATGTTTTTGTTAAAAATTTGCTACATTATGTAACTTGCAGCAATAAAATGTTTATTTTAACATTTGCTTCTTTCCTGTGCCTCTTCATATGAGAAATTCCATAAATTTATTGGAAAATTTTTTAGAATTTATAAAATTCCGTAGGTAATACTAAGGAATAAGCGGACTACTTAATTCATACGTATTGACCTACTTCATTAGTATAAGCACAGAAGTACGGAATTTTATTAAAGTTTGAGGAATATCTTTTGTTAAAGTTATTTTGTTATCATGTGATGTGAGCAGGCAATTAATTTTTAGAGCAAGTCTACGGACACCTGCCAGTTCACGTGAACAACTCCAATTCGGGTAACTTTTGTACCTACCCTAACTTTAGGTACAAAATCACATGAGCTGGTAGGTGTCCGTAGATTTAATCTAATTTTCATTATAAAACCATAATAAAAGTAATTATTCAACTTACAAAAATAACTGTCTTTGAGAAACTTCAATGAAAATACGATTTTTAAATTTTGGCAGCCTTTACTATAATTCTTGGTTTTATTGATCCAGTGTAACTTTATCGGATTGTCAATTCCGATGATAAGATTATTCGTTTAATAGATTTTTATATGAATGAAAAGAGAAAATAATTAAATTATAACATTTCCAAATAAAATACTTAAGTTCGGAAATGAATCCGGACAAAGAATTTGGAGAAATATTATAGGCTGAAGTTTGTCTGATTGGCTAATAAATTCAATTTAATTTACATTATTTATACAGTTTAATCATAATGAAATAAAAAAGGCTTTATAGAAGGTTTTATTGGAATCGTAGGATTCCATAATCAAAAATAAGATCTAATTTTCATCCGTTTAAAAAAGGTAGTATAATAATGACTTCTCAAACCCCGATAAAATCAACTTATTACTAAACTAATTTCTTTAAACGGACGAGAACTAGATCTTATTTTTGACTACAGCTCTAATGAAACCTTCTACGTAGTTTATTTTTTTTTACTTTATTATGGTTGGTTTTCGTTTTTTTAAAAAGTATTTTAAATTGTATAAATAATGTAAATTGAATTTATTAGCCAATCAGACGACCTTCTGCCTATGAGGGGAAATATATATAAATTACATCTATTTTTCATTAGATTCACAATAATAAAACTAAATTAAAGTGAAAAAAAATATATAAAATAAAACAATACAGAAGTAGAAAAATACAAGAGTGAAAAAATACAAGCATACCAAATATTTTCATATACAGAACATTAATTTTAGTTACTCTTATTCATTCAATTTTTTTCAGGTTTTATCTTTTAATTTCTAGCAAATTATGAGTGAAGAAGTAATTCAAAACGAAGCAAGTTCAAATACTTCACCTAAAAAACTAACATTTCTATACGAAAAACTTATGAAAAAGAAATCCAAATCCGGGAACCTTTCCTATCCAGCCATGAATAGACCTAAAGAAGTGATTCAAAACGAAGCAGGTTCAAATACTTTACCTATAATACCAAGATATGTACACGAAACGCCGGAGACAATTAAGACAATTATGAAAAAAAAATCACAATCCAGGAAACTTCACTATTCATCCACGAATAGTATGTTTCAAAAAATGAAGGGAATGATACAAACTGGATTAGACTTAAACACTGTCAAATCTCTACTAAAACCTAATTATGATTATAACTTGAATACTTTTGAAGAGCCTGAAACATATTCTATGCAAGATGATGCTTATATCGAAGCACAAGTTGCAGAATGGACTCGTCTATTAGTCGGTGAAAGGTTTAACTCCCAATTAACTGGTACGACTTGGTTAAAATATTCATATACAGACTTTTCTACGTTACTAACTTTAAAATTTATTTCTGTATATACAATAATGTGTCTGAAATTAGCTGGTGTAAGTTCTGGCCAAGAACCTAATATTACGAACTTAGATGATTTATCTGGTTCTAGTTCTGGCCAAGAAACTAATATTACGAATATAGATAAATTTATCTGGCTTCAAGATAATTACTTCGTTATATGATAATACCTCTGATACATCAAGCATACCAGATTGCTGCGATTCTGACAGAAGACGTGTTTCTGATTATTTGAATGAGACGTAAGTTGAAACAGACCATTTAAGTGGTAAATATAACGATATATTGATTAAATTACTTTAGGCAGAGAACTATTATGTTACTAGTTATCACTAATCACATGGACTTATATATGCATGGTACTAATGAAATCATTACAATCAAAAAAAATTTTCGTTCCTTACTCCTGTATTATGTATAAATTGTAAGATCAAGAAAGAAAAATGCATCAGAAGAAATATTGTACAAATTATACACAACGAAATTTAAGATAACAAAAACAAGGCCTTTACCTAAATCAGACAGGGCAACTCTGACTACTCCCGAAATTTGCAATCTGCTAAACCCATTAAATTAGTTTTTATAAAGAAAATAAGATTCATGGAAACAGTTAACAAAATCTCATGAAAAATACCCTAACCTGATAAATAATAAGAAATTCTAAAACTATGATAAAATCGTACGTGCAAGTGCATAGTGTGATACCGAATATCGTGACCGATCACGTGAAAAATGCACGAAATGCAATAAATGTAATAAGTGTAATAAGTTACATTCAAGATCGGAAACGGTATTTCGGATCCGAAGGGGTAGATAAGGAATAAAGGGAGGAAATAACGGATATTAAATAAATACGTGTAAATAGTTTAATTAGTTTTAATGGATAAGTCGCATTTGTAAGCGACGAATTTTATATTATAAATAAAGGCCGAA